TCCCCTATAAAGTCTGTTATTTACTCAAGAAACATTGGAGTGGGGGTAGAAAGCCAAGTGGATACACCAGGATTAAAGTGCACATTTGGCTTCTAAAAAAAACTATTTTTTTATTTTTAGGTTTTTGCCATAGAGCATGTGCGTTCACTGGAGAGAGACAGAGACAGTGAGAAGGAAAGAGAGAAATCACCCCCTAGAGGGGATGGCCACCCCTCAGTCCCGTCTCCGTTCTCCTCTCAGGATTTTGGGCATATATGCATCCGTGCCCGGTGTGTTTGTGTCTGGCATATTTTTCAAGTGGCTGCTCTGGGATTCAAACCAGTCAGCCACGTGGGAATCCAGCAACTTAATCACCACGACACCTGCTGGCTTTTTTGTCCTGAATCTGGTGAAAACCTTATGTAAAATTTACTGCAGCCAAAAACACCATAGGTCCCTAAACAATGAGTATAGGCTACATATAGAATCTTGGTGATGACATTATTTTTTTCTAACACCTCCAGGAATTTTGGGAAGAGAAATACCTAGTAAGAAAGCATTCTGGGGTAAAGTTGTAAGGTTTTTATCATTCTTTTCTTCCCAAATTTCATTTGTAAGGAAAATTAAGTCACCATTTTCAGCAGAGGAAACTGAATTTTTGGTGTAAGAACCTGATTTCTATATCATATGCACCTGAGGTAAGCAATGTCTAGATTAATGACAGTAGTGCAAATTCAACGCAAAGAATCCCTGGTTATTTTCTTTTCTTTTCTTTTTTTTCTTTTAAAATGCCAACTCTCATTAGTTCCCACTGGAGATTCTCTCAAAGATGGCAAACATGGTATAGCTCCTGGGTACTATAAACCACATTGAATGTCACTGGGCCAGTTTAGCATACCCATGTAAATCATGACGTGGTTAGAGATAGTAACAATATTGAACCATTTTCAACCTTCATATGACATATTTAATTCTCTTAACACAGACTGTTGTCGGGCAGTTTTTTTAATAAGTCTCAAATATAAACAATTAAAACACACAAAATATACTCAAGCCTACATATGGAATTTTTGAAACAAATGTATTTTCAACCATCAAACATTTAAGCATTCCAAATCAAGGATTTTCACAAGCAATTTTATAGCTCAATCTATTAAGTAATTAAATATCAGTAAAAGTATTAGCCTGAATTTCTGTATTAACACTATGCCCTTACTCTGTTTTTTTTTAATTAATTTAATTTTTACAGAATGTAATTTCTTCCATCCTTGAGGCTTATTTACAGAATAACCCATAAGATGTATATACATATATAATTGGTTCAGCTAAAATGATGTCGAGGTGAACCCAACTATTCTAAGTTTTAAATTTTAAAAACTATTTTAGCTTTTGATTTTTAAATTTAACACAAAAAGTCCTGTCCTACAAGTGTTAACACAAGTTTTTTCAACTCTCCCCTCAAATCAAATAAATCAGTTAACTGTATCTGTTAAAAACAAATGTAAAATATCTCATAAGAACTAGACAGTTCACTCAAAAATGTTCCCAACCCCCTCAAATCAAATAAACTAGCTAACTATATCTGTATTTGTTTACATTTTTATTTATATTTATTTATTTGAAGAGGTTTTTGCTATAGGGCACGTGCACTTGCCAGAAAGACAGGGAGAGACAGAGACAGAAAGCGAGAAATCACCCCCCCAGGGGGGATGGCCCTGCTGTAATCCCTTCTCCTCCATGCTCCTCTTGGGATCTTGGGCATGTACACACACATGCCTACTATGAGTTTAAGCCACGGGGTCTGGAACCCAAACTACGATCAACTACATGTGAGTCCAACAACATAGCCATTATGCCAACTGCTGGTCCCTTAATTTTTATTTTTATAAAGTAAAAATTACAGACCTTTTCCCCACAGAGAAATTTGCATTTTTTTAAAGATATTTTTTGTTATAGGGCACTGTGCTCAATGGGGAGACAGAAACTGAGAAATCACCCCCACCCTGGGGTGGAGATAGTCACTCAGCAATCCCTTTTCCTCTATTATCCTCTCAGGATTTTGTGCACACACACGCGTCCAGGGTGTCTTAAGCTGATGGTTCGGGATTTGGACTGTGGTTGACTATATGGAAGTCTAGTGACGTAACCATTACATCATCTGCTGGTCCTTGCATTTCTATTTGTTAAATAATTCTTGCCTTTGCCCTTCCTTCCCTCTTCCCTCCCTTAGAGTCTCTGGTATCTATAGTATCCTCTCTACCATTATATCTTCAGATTTTTCAGTTTCTTCCACAGAGTGCAGACATTCAGTACATATTGAGTGGGGATTTACAGTTCATATCTTTCAAATTCTGGTTCAGTTTGCTCAACATTAAGTCTTCTATATTCACCCACTTTGAACCAGATGATAGGGCCTCACTGTTTCTTATGGCGAATATTCCATAGTGTATATGTGCCACAGTTTTTCAACCCAGTCATCGGTAAAGCGTAAATGTGAAAAATCTCATAAGAAGACAGTTTAAGGTACACTCAAAAATGTTATGTCTGCCAAAGCATTTAGCAATCAAGAAATCCAATATATTATATAAGTAAAATACATGCCCTGAGTCAGTTTACTGTTCGTAACCGACATCAACTGAAAAACTTCCTGAAGTCCTTAACCTAAGATGGCAGAGCCTGCCTTATTCTCATCTGTGTCCCCAGTGTGATGCTGCAGGAGCTCAGTAAATATCTGAGGGTTTATTTGAGACCCAGCCCCCAGATAGAGAAAAGGTCTCCTGCACTGACAGGAAATTCCAGGACCATTCTGGCAGGTTGCATATCTCATGTCATTTCAAACAGGCCTGAGTTCACCAAGAGAAGGGATTTAAAACTGATCATCATAGATGGTAAACTAGGCTAGTAAGTAAGGCAATTCTGCCCTTTCTGGAGAAGGCAAAAACAACTTTCTGAGGTCCCTGTTTCATGGTCCATAGGGGGCCACACACTGGCAAATGGACCATGAGAAAGGGGGACATGCATGGCAATGTTCCTTTGGCCTTGGAACTAGGAAAAGAGACACACACAAAGCACCTAATTTTATTAAACTCTCAACAGCTGAGCTTCTCTGAGTGAGGCCTGCAGGGTGGGGCACCCCCCGCGATCTGCTATGACTGGTCCACAGGAGACAACTGCGACAGAAACTAAGAAGAGGCATCCAGAAGGAGCAATTTTTCAGTCTTATATCAGTCAAATCTAAGAAATACAGAACCAATACCCAAGCTTGTATTTTGCATATTTCACTTCTATTTATTCTAGTCACTAGTTTTGACTCTATTTTACAGGAAGTCATGACCCACAGTGAACTGGGAGTCTTAGAAAAATAAAATAAAATGAGGTCCTTTATCAGAGCCAGGCTGAGAAACTGCACTGAGGACCCGACCCAAAGTTTTGTCTGAACAATATTGCGTATGAAGCTTGCAAGATTACTGATTTGCCCAGCCATCTTTAAAATTAGTTGAATATTAAGATTTTTCTGAAGCAGATAATTTTGCCTGTGTGTAATACACTAAAGCTCCTCTGATTAACATCTGAATTAATCTAGAGATTGCTGAATGGAGGACAGTGAGATACCATATAATCACATCCGTTCTGAGGAACTGAGCTATTAATTAACATGTCTTCCCTGGAAAGGGAGAACTCTGTGGTCAAACAAGTTTGGGATGTAGCCCTATCCCGGGGGCCCCCTCCTGGGAAGCATGATACATATCAGCATATTAGGGATTCTGGGAAGGCCAGCAATCAAGAAATGTGTTTAATTACACGGCCTATGCCCTCTTTATCTAAACTCTCACATTAACATCTTAAGCAGGAAACACAATTTTGAAATGCTAATGTAGTCATCAGATTCCAGATTAGCAATCAAAAACCTGTCCAGATACCTTTTACTAGCTGTTTCTTTTCCTCATTGATAAATAACCCTTGCTACCCCATCCGGCCATCCTTGCTGAGCTGCAGCATCAAATGAGATAATTAGGTAAAATCACTTGTAAAGCAAATAAACTACTTCAGGGCAAGGAATTGGTTCCCCACGCATCCCAACCCATCTGGTGGCCCAACATGCACATAGCTCTTGGCATGGTTCCTAAGGTGTCCTCTTACTCCCCCCACACAGGGTGCTCTCCTCCAGTGGTCATTTATAGGGACACTCCCTTAGAATTCTGAGTCTTGGGGAGCCTTCCTTGCTTCAGCAGGTGTGGGGTGATAGGCCCCTATCTGTGCCCTTCCTTAGAAATGTAAATTGCGCCCACAGTAGAGCCAGGAGGATGCTCTGAATTTGCCAATCGCTCCAGCTGGCTGGCACCATGCTCCCCTGCCTCAATCTCTGTAGACATTTCTCTAAGGCTCTGGGAGGGGTGGGGGGACATTACAGTGCAGGACTCAGGTGTTCGGGTCCCCATGCCTGCAGCCACCTGCCCATCCTCAGCCACCTGCTACCTTCTTCCCCAGTATCCACGTGGTACTCAGAAATGACCCACTGGGCTGGATCAATATTGCATCCTGTTAGTGGGAGAACAACCTGAACACAAATATCACTACCTTGAAAAAGAATGCACCGTAACACAGGCATCATAGATAATACTTCTTTTCCACCAAACACCATAATCCAGCTTCTATTCATTCGTGAGCTCCCCATTTCAACAATCAATGCTAATACGTTTTCCGTCAAACAACTATTATTTTCAACTTCTGCGGCTCCTGTGTTTAACTCCAAGGCAGCACGAGAATGTGAGTGATTTCTACAAGGTCACATGGTCAGTGAAATGTAGGACAAGGAACTGGCCTTGCTTTGCTTGCATACTCTTATAACCACCAAACCACGAGGCCTTTGTTAAGGTCAAAGTTATCATGAAACAGTATGTACAGGGTATACAAAAGCTCACTTCTGCAGCTATTACAAACACACACACACACACACACACACACGGGCCACAACTTAAAATAATAAAAAGCAGGAAGATAAGAAGCTGGCTTGTACTTACTGTTCACGTAAACGTTAAATGTTATGGAAGCACTGACATCAGAATTGGACACAACAAACGTGTAAGTGCCTCCTTCGGTCCCCTTTAGTCTGGTTAGATGGAGTTCACTTACATATCTACAAGGCAAGGACGATAAGTCAATCACTTATGTGGATGGTCTGCCTGAGGGCATGGCTTTTTCATAGTTCCCTGGAAATACATGCTTGTTTAGGGAAAATAGGAGCCATTTAATTCGGTATAGGGTTGAGCATCCCTAATCCAAAAACCCAAAACCCAAAATGCTCCAAAAGTGTTTGAGCAACTGACCTAAGGCCACAGGCAGAAAATGCCACACCTGAATTCACACGATAGGTCTCAGTTAAAATGCTGTAACACAAAAGTTTCGTATAAAACGACCTTCCATTTATATGTATAAGGTATATATTAAACATAGATAAATGCCACTGACCCTCAAGACAGTTCATTATATATTTGCAAATATTCCAAAATCCCAAACAATCCAAAATCCGAATCACTTTGGTATCACATATTTTTGGTAAGGGACATTCAACCTGTATTAACAAAACCCACACTGAGAAATGCAAATCCATACGTACGTAAATTCAATTTGGGCAACCTCAAAGAGAGTGCAGGTCTCCCTCCCCTGACTGCTCTCAGACCACTTCCTCCTCGGCCCTGTTCTCTGCCCACCTCCCTCTCCAGTGTCCTGAGCTGGCCTGCCCTGCTTTGCTTAAATACCATTTGTCTGGCGAAACCCCAGCCTGGCAGGCGTCCACACGTCTACTGTCTTCAAGCAGGGCCCTCTCAGCAAGACTGGCCCTGCTGCCCTGGTCTTTCTCCTACCCTACATTCTTCCTGCTGGTGCCCCGAGCTGTATTTGCTATTTGAGCTTCTGTTTTTCTGCGGGACTGTATGGACTGAGCACTATTCGACATTCAGGGAATCACTGGTGTGGGCTTCGATGTGGATGTACAGCTCTGGGAAGCCCAAGACCCAGACAAGCACGTGAGCTACGAACTGCAAGGTGGCCTTGTGCAGCCTCCCTTGTGCTCGCTAGCTCAGGGGTACCCCGTGCTTTCACATGAAGTACTTGCTGCTCACTCACAACTTCCCAGTCTACCTAGGGCACAGACGTCTGTCCTAGCCTCCTTTCTGGAGCTATTCTTGTGCTCCCATCTCTCCCTGCTGTGGCAGCAGCTAGTGACTCATACCTGTAATCTCTTTCCAAGGATTCGTTGCCCTTGGCACTGAGGTCCACTTGGGAGTTGACTGCCCAGCCAGGTCTACAGCCAAGGAATGCCCAACAGTAGGAGGTACAAAAGCCCAGCTCAGAGCTCCCTGAGGATCAGATGGCGGTTTGGGGGTACCCGACCTACATTCTTACTGGGCTCTTTTCCCCTCTCCTTCTGTTTCCTCTACTCTTTGGCAAGTCTCTCTCCCTCTCTCCCTTAATAATCCTTAGGCTCAGAATCCCTGTCTCTGGCCCCACTTCCAGGGAACCTGACCTACTTGGACTTGTCCAGGTGAGATCCCACTACTGGCCTCAAATTCAACCAACCCCACACTGAGCTCATCCCCGCCTCTCCCTGAATGCTGTCCTTTCACCATCCCACCTGAGAGCATTCGGCACCTCCCTCCCCTCCCGGCCCTCCATCACCCAGTCTTGTGAAGGTAGTTGGACACCCTAAATCTACTCCCTTCCCTCCACTCCCTAGTCCCAGGCTCAGCACACCATTCTCTCCCACTCTTCCAACAGCTCCTGATGGAAATTACACGAGCTCTAAACAGGCACCCGCCCCTTAACTATGTGATCGTGACCAAATTCCGTCAGCCCTCTGTACCTCAGCTTCTTCTCCTATAAAAATGAGGCAATGCAGAGTGTATGCTCATTGAGGCCTAGAATCACTGGGTGAATATATGTAAGGAACTTAGAACCGAGACCGACAGGAAAAAAGGCACAGACAGCTTACAGAAAGTATTACCATTGCTACTGTGTTTCTCATAATGTCTGGAAGAGCAAATGACAGGTCTGATATACACGAATCTGAGTTCACTTTTGGCCCAAAGCTACTATAAGACTCTTAGTTTTCTTAGAGTTTTAAGAAACAATTAAAGATACTAACTTTCCTTTCTCTAAGGAGAAATATCTGTGTCCCCATTTAGGTGAGTTGCTGCTTTGAGAACTTCTCAGAACTCTAGAAAACAACTATCCTCTATGTCACTAGTGAGAAAACGGAGGCACAGGAATGTGTGGGTGTTCTGAAGACACACAGCAAAATGGGATATTCTATGAAACCCCAAGAAGCAGCCCCCCAACTTTTTTTTTTTTTTTTAGAGAGATTTTTGCTATAGGGCGCATGTGCTCACCAGACAGATGGAGAGAGACAGAGAGACAGAATGCAAGAAATTACCCCCCAAGGGGGATGGCCATGCTGCAATCCCTTCTTTTCCATTCTCCACTCGGGATCTTGGGCACACACGCACACATGCCTGGCGTGAGTTTAAGCCACTGAGTCAGGGACTCGCACTGCGGTCGACGACATGGGAGTCCAACGACATAGATATTCACCAACTGCTGGTCCCAACCCCCAACTTCTTTACCAGGTATCTCCCCATGCATGTATGAGTCACAGAAATAGGATCTGGGAAGCCCAGTGGGAAAAGGGGGGGTACATGTATAACCCTCGGGGCAAGCTCCTTTCCTTACCGGATGTTACTTTCATTATCAGACTTGCGATAATCCCATTTATCCGTGGATGTCCTGTTCATATATATCCACTGCTGATGTTCAGGTTTGGGATAGGCCATGTATTCGACAATCAGGTCTACGTTTTCTCCGTCGTTCACAAATATTGTCAAGTTTGTCAGAGGGAAGATGTTAATGAACCCTTTATCTAATTAGAGTAGAATGAGAGAGAAAGAAACTGTTATCCACAACCACCCGACACAAACCACAGCCTCATCTTGAATTATAAAAATAACTGACTGATTTTTCAATACTGATTGACAATAACAAGTAAGAGAATGTTAACGAGCCATTTTACATTTTAGGTCCCTCTTGTAGACTCACTGTCATAAATGAGAGTGGACACACTTGAAATACTAATTCCCCCATCTCTGTCGCCTAAGCAATTCTCTGAAAGGCCACCAACCACCTTAAGTATTCTAGAGCTACCAGTCTTGGTGTTTACAAGGTTAAAAAGTATTTGAACTCAATAATCTGCATCTAGATGTGATCATGTAGGTGACAAGTAGGTATCATAAATCAAGAACGGAAAGACAGCCCTAATGTTTAAGAAAAACGCTGAAAGAATGTCACTGAGTATTTGAAGAAAAATAAACTTAGGTCTTCTTATCCTATCACGTGTCAGAGAAAAATCAAAGACAGCATTTTAACAAACAAACCATGGCTTTGACTAGCAACAGAATTGACTCCTATTAAACTTCTACAGAGGGGGCAGGGTTATAGAGCACAGAAGAAAAATATCACCAAAGGGGACCAGTAGTTAGTGTAATGGCTATGTCGCTGGACTCCCATGTAGTTGACCACAGTTCGCGTCCCGGACCCAGCGGCTCAGAACTCACACCAGGCACGTGTGCATGCGTGCCCAAGATCTTGAGAGGAGACTGGAGGAGAAGGGATTGCGGTGTGGCCATCTCCCCTGAGGTGGGTGATTTCTCGCTTTCTGTCTCTGTCTGGTGAGAGCATGCGCCCTATAGCAAAAACCTCTAAAAAAAAGTCATCAAAGACAATTTTGAATATAGAAACATTTTTAAATGCCTACACAGTAAAATTAAGGTAACAAGGAACAAGAAAAATTAATAATATAGAGGGAAAAATGTTTCACTAATGTAGTAATTAAGACATCCCTTTTGACTTATTAAAAATAGCAAAAAATTATTGAGTTTACAATAATTTTTCGATAATTTTTTAAGTGTGGTCAAAGTAGCACAGTGAATTATATACAGTAAAAATTATTTTAGTATTTTTTACCATAGGGCATGTATGTTCACTGGAGAGAGACTAAGAGAGAGACAGAGAGAAGAACTGTGAGAAATCACATTCTCCTCTAGGGATTTGGGGCACATAGGCTGGCATGATTTTCAAGCTGCTGGGTCTGGGACTTGAATCACATCTCGCAATGTAGGAATCCAGCACCTCAACCACCATGCCAGTTGCTGGCCCCAACTGACCGTGGCGCAGCAGTAAAATGTAGTCTCTGTGAGGCTGCTTTACAAGGTAAGATTCCGGGTTCGTACCTAGAGACTTCCCCGAGTACTCTGAGCATGCGCACAGCCCTGATCCAGGGCTGAGTGAAGCTGGGAGGAGGTGTGTATCTAGACCCTACTGTGGCTGCGACCTTTCTGTCTCTCTCTCTTATGAAGAGATAAATGAATCAACTTAAAAAATTATTTTATCTATTCTTCAATTTAATCCAGTAATTTCTACTCAAGGACTCTTCTTAAAATGAAGTCAACAGTTAACACATGATAAGAAGTGCTGTTCACACTGGTTATAATCATTTTTAAAATGACAAAATAAAGAACTGATTAAATAAATAATGCAACTCTTATAAGTGGTTATATAATGATAATATAAGAGCGTGAAAAAGAGAACAATAAAATGAATGCCAATATTATTTTTATAGCCAGTATTTATGGAAACGTTTACTGTGTGCCAAGTCCTGCCTCTAGCACTTCAGCATATATTTTGCTTAATAATTATGACAAGCATTACAACCTCGTAACAATACTAAGTGACAGAGCTTTTAACCTCTAATTTACAGATTTAAAAAATCAAGGCCTTAAAAGCCACACAGTAGAGCCTAGATTTGAACACAGGTCTGTGAGAAGCCAAGGCTGTCCACCTCTTACTACAGCATACCCTAGAGTCTCAATATATTGTACTTTAAGTGAGAGAGTGTGATATGAATAGAGCTGTATGTAAAATTAAAATTTCGTTATATACAAAAATACAAACACTATGGTCAGTATCTTTAAATGGTGATATCAACTTAACAAAAGTATAAAAAGTTTTAATGTTACTCTCTTTATTTTTCAAGTTTTATAACTTGACTAAAAATTTTAATTTATCATTTAACTTTCGGGCTATCTGGTTAAACATAATAAACATAACAAATCCCATAGGAGGTTGTCACCATCGTTTTTTGCAACTCTTAGTTTCCCATAGAATCAGAATCAAAAACACAATCCAACTGTCCTTTGTCCAGTAGACCAATTTAAAAAGGATTTTTCAGATGGAGATGAAAAATTATCCAAATGAAAACTGGAAAGGCATGGAAACCACCACCCTGCTCTAATATCTATATCACAGAGGATGAGCCTACCTGCTTCCACCCACCATTCTTTAAGTAAATGTTTCATCTGAATGTACTATTAAATTTTCATGATATGAAAGTCGTAAATTCAAAAACCATACAAAATGCAAATTATTAGTGTATTTCAGACAACGATACTTGCCTTTAAATTACAATGACCACACATGAGATCCTTCAGTTCTCCTGAGCTTTTGCTAGCCTAGTTTGCTCAATATATTGGGTCCTCAGAAAAGTCATGTTGGATTTTTCTGTTTTTCTATGCAAAAATGTGTCATGACTTTCCTGACAACCCAGTAGTAGTTGGTTCTACAGTGGAAGAGAGCTTATAAGAATTATTAGAAGGGGACCAGCAAGTGGCATGGTGGTTAAGGCACTGGATTTCCACACGGCCGACCATGGTTTGAGTCCCAGATCAGATAGCTTGAAAATAACACCAGGTGTGTGTGCATACGTGCCCAAAATCCCAGGAGGAAAATGGAGGAGAAGGGATCATGGTGTCGCCAACTACTCTGGGGGGGACAGAGGGGAGGGAGGTGATTTCTCACTCTCTCTCTGTATCTCTCCAGTGAGCACAAGTGCCCTATGGCAAAGACCTTCAAAAACTAAATAAATAAATAAAGATTATTAGAGAGCACCGCCCGTTTGGTTGTATTATAGCCACCTAACGCTATCTGGGCTGTTACAACTAACAGTATAATTTTGTATTTTTCTCATAATACACATTTTCTTTATTGCTATTTCTTATTTACAATCATTGTGCATCTCTACAGTGCACACTATGGTTTTTCCAAGGATGCATACAATGCATAACGAGAAATCAAAGACACTACCACATACATTATTTTCAACATAGAACTTGACATTCTTGTGTCTGCTCAGTGTTTCTTCCGCAGTCCCCCCTTTTCGGCTCATACCTTCTCGGGTATCTACACTTGCCCTCCCTACTGAAGCATCTTTAGGACTTTTGATTTCTGCCAGAGAGAGCAGACATTCAGTACATATTGAGCAGGGAGCACGTAGTGCTTATCTTTCAGTCTGGGTTATGTCACTTAGCGTTAAGTCTTCTCTAGTCATCCTTTGGGTCAGATGGCAGGGTCTCATTGTATTTCAAGGCTGAGTAGTATTCTATAGTGAATTACGTGCCACAGTTTTTCAATCTAGTCTTCTGTTTTTAGACACTTAGGTAGATTCCCCATCTTAGTAATTGTGAATAACGCCACGATAAACATGGATATGCAAGTGTCTCTTGGACTGTTCTCCTGCCCTTTGGGTAAATACCAAGGTGTAGAATCATTGGGTGAGATGGTAGTTCTAGTTGTAGATTTTCAAGGAACTTCAATATTGTTTCCTGCAGTGACTGTACTAATTTACATTCCCACCAACAGTGCAAGAGGGTCACCTTTCACCACAGCCTTGCCAGCTTGTGACTTTGTGTGTTTTAGAGAGACTTGTTATAGGGTACATGAACTCAGTGGAGAAACAGAGAGAGAAAGAAAGTGAGAAATCACCCCCTAGGAGGGACGGTCACACCACAATCCCTTCTCCATTCTCCTTTCAGGATTTTGGGCATGCACATGCTCAGAGTGAGCTGCAAGCCAGGTCCGGGACTTGAACTGTGGTCAGCCATGTGGAGTCCAGCACTTTAACCACTATGCCACTTTATCATATAAAAGATGTTGAATATTTTTTCATATGTATTTTGGCCATTCATGCATCTTCCTTGGAGAGTTGTCTGTTCGGCTCATTTATCCATTTTTAAACTGGGTTATTCATTTTGTTGTTTTTGTGTTTTTGCTTTTATTAGAAGGTACCCCTGTATTCTGGTTATCAATCTCTAATCTGATGAACAGTTTACAAATAAGTTTTTAAAAGCAATTCTACATTAAGAAATGGGTGATGCATTCACATTTAATCAACTACAAATTCTATGCCTAACACTTCCATAAAACCCGCTATCTTTTTAGCTTCCATAGGCCGTGTTTCTCAGTAGGGAAAATGCAGGCAGAGTTAAAGTAGTACATTAGAAAACCAAGTGGTAAAGCCCTAACTCAAAGACAGCTCAGATGTAGCTGCCCTTACCAAAACAAAACAAAACAAAACAAAACAAAACAAAAAAACAGACGAGTAAGCAGGCTGGCCCTGTAATGCAGGTGGGCAAACCCTGTGTACTGGGAGCTGGATCCCACATGGTCAATCATGGTTCAAATCCCGGCCCCAGTTGCTTGAAAAACACACCAGGTTTGTATGTGTGCATGTCCAAGATCCTGATGCAATGGGGAAATGCAGGAAGGGGAATTGCTAAGTGAGCACACCCTGATGGGGAGAGAAGGGTACCTTTTCTGTCCACCCCCTGTGATAAGCACACATGCCCTCTGAAATTTCATTTTTTTTTTTTTAAGGCATATAACTATGTGGAATGAATAAGTTAATTTGCTTCACTACAATCATCTTCTACTATCAGGCTGTCGGAAAAGTCATGATGCATTTTTGCATAGAAAAATACATCATGACTTTTCTGATGACCCAATATACATCTCTCATAGATAGCATCATGCTATATACCTTAAATATATACAACTTTAAGATATTTATTTCTAAAACGACAAAGCCAGATCAGAGTGATCGCAACTCCTTGTTCTTTTCACTAATCCAGGTCACTTCTAAATCCTATTTCCAGCCCCTAAAAATGTTATTTTTCTCTTGCTTTCTTCCTGGTTCCTCTCTAACCCCCACCTGCTCCTGAAACAATACAAAACCAGATTCCGGTTTCACCGCCACAAGTCTTTCCAGTCATACAGTTATATTCTTGGAAATTGATGAATGGATTTTAAAAATCCGATTATATACAACGATACGCTCAAAACATCCTTACTAATTGCTTTCTGGAGCTGAAGCTGATATATCAACACGCTCCCTAATCAACTTAGCAAATTAGCGCTCATGGAGTTTAATATTTTAAAAGCACAGCCTTCTATTCAAATGAATAAATGGCTCGCAATCACAGTTAGGGACAAAGTGGCACACTGTCCGTGCGCTGCCTCTCTGATTGCAAGTAACGCATCTTTGCCATGTTCCGTCTGGTGAGAGATTTTTCCATTACAACACAGCAGAGACACCAAACGTGTATGAGATTATGATGGGATAAATCACAGAGCTCTACTACTGCTACATAAATTACTGAAGGGATCTGGAGAGGGAAAAGGAGAGGTATGAAAACCACCATGGCATCACTGTATTATTGCTCATAATGAAGAATTTCACTACCCTCAAAGTATTTAATCAAAGTCAAACACTAAGAATATTAAAAAGAAAGGAAAACAGATTAAGTTCGAATACCACTCAAAAGACAAAAGAAAGTGTAAATGGAATCATTTAAAATTATTTTTGTTCTTGGTAAAGCAAAAGTACCAAGGAGCTCACTGTCCTAGGCTCTCCTTAAAAAGATGCTTGGAAAATAAATACTTAGATTTCTCTCCCCGCCCCCTTTTTTTTGGAGAGATTTTTGCTGTAGGGCATGTATACTTCCTGGAGAGAAAGACAGGAAGTGAGTTAACCCCCCCCCCCCCAGGGGAGAGGGCCCCACCACAATCCCTTCTCATCCATCCAGTCTACTCCCAGGATCTTGGGCATGCACGCACATGTGCCCGGCCTGATTTTCAAATTTCCGGGTCTGGGACTCAAACCACAGTCGGCCATGTGGAAGTCCAGCACCCTAACCACATGCCACCTGCTGGTCTCTTTAGTGAGATTTCTAGAGTAGAGAAGACAAGGTTAAACCAAGTGTGCATTCCAGAGATGATGAGGTTGGGAAGCAGATCAGCATGTCCCAGTCTCTGCTCTGTAGAATCCATGCCTCATGCCTCATGCCCCAGAGGACCACCTTCCTGAAGGTTTAAGCTAAGACTTGAAGACGGGAGAACAGAGCGAGTTAGAGAGGGCACTCGTCCCAATTCATCCTCGCTACAAATGAACTAGAGTCAATGAGTGGCGAGACGATAAATCGAAGGCAGAGGAGCCTCTCCAAAAGATAGAGAGGAATACTTTTGGCTCCAAGCATTTGTGGTTCCTTGATAAAGTCTACATCCATCTCTAAATTTGAATCACCCAGCGAAAAGAATAGAATTTTTTCAAAAACTCAATTTATATCTTGTTAATTTCATGGGAAGGGTAGGATGGGGAGCACAGAACAACTTAAAGAAAACCTTTCCACTCCTCTATCAAATGGCAGAACTTGCTTCTGTGCTGAATTGCAAAGGCTACAGTGATAACTTTCATTCATTCATTCATAATAAGAGTCTCAGAATCTGTTCAATATTCCATTTCCATAAAAAAGGACTATCTAGACATTTCTTTTTTTACTATTGCCAGTAATTTATACAGTCCCATAGAGGTATTTACCTACTACTTCCAAGGTGGTTGTGACATTCGCTGATCCAAACGTATTGTTGGCATAGCACATGAACACCCCAGAATCGTTAACGCTCACAGGGCTGAGTGTCAGTGTTTCCTGGCGTTCATAGCTGAAGTCGTCCCGGTGCCAGCTGTTTACCTGTACTTTCGTATTCTGGTTCAGGAGGGGAGGGTGAAAAACATCACAGATTACCATATAATTTATATTCAGGATCTCTCCTAGATAAATTAAAAATAGCAGCAATTAACTTCTCCATATTAGCATTCATTATACACTACTTAAGTAAGAATAATACAGTATCATGACAAATTTGTCATTGGAATACTTCATATTACAGGATCATATTGAAAGATAGTCATTATTAATGATGAAAAAACATGAAAATGCATTTCTTAACCACGGAATACATAACCCCTAATTCTCTGCAGTGCTAAATTTTAGGATTTCCTATATAAAAAATTTCATGAAATACCAATATTTTACAGTATGAGTCAGCATACTTACATCGTATTAACATTTCCTTTTATTTCATTTTATGTTCTCTGAAGGGACTTCAGAAATTTTGTGGAAAAATAAATTTAGAGTACAAGTTTATTTTGAGGCCAAAAAAGGATGAACCCATGCAAGCTTTTCCACAATATACATTTTCCATGCACTTCTGGAAGACCACTCGTATATCCCAAAGATCAAAAGAGAATACATTGCTGGGAACCAGCAGTTAGCGTAATGGCTATGTCGCTAGACTCCCACGTAGTCGACCGCGGTTCGCATCCCGGACCCGGTGGCTTAAAACCCACGCCGGGGGCGTGTGCGTGCGTGCCCAAGATCCCAAGAGGAGAATGGAGGAGAAGGGACTGTGGCGTGGCCATCCCCCCTGGGGGGTGATTTCTCGCTTTCTGTCTGAGCGCACGCGCCCTATAGTGAAGGACCTTTAAAAAAAAAAAAAAAAAAAAGAGAGAGAATACATTGCTGATGACACTAATGTTCTGTTTTATTAGCGTTTATTATTTGCAGGAATGAAAACAGAATCAGAATACCTTCAACTAACTCGATAAGCCAAGATACAGTTCCTATCCAGCAGAATTTTGACAGTTACTGAAGGGAGTTTCGAAGTATGAGACATAAGACCAAGCCCCTAATCACTCACGCATGAGCTTAAAGATTAAAGGCTGTGAATTTCCCTTTGTGAGGTGACCGCCCACGTTTATTACCTGTCTGTAGACTAGACATGGACAGAGTGCTTGCATTTACAACACCATGGGTACACCATGATATAAACTAGAACAGTTCTCTGAAAAGATGGAAGAGAATCAAATAGAGCATTCTGTGTCTTCCAAATTTTCTGTAAAATACACACATTCCTATTATGGTGGGGGGAGGGGGATAACTAAAAAAAGGTAAACAGGAGCTGATATTGACATGGAATTAGAGCAAGGGCGATTCATTTGGCTGGGCTCTTATGAACCTGATAAAGGGAGGTCACCTGACTGTACTGAAAATCAGAACAGTCCTTCTAGAAAACACTACTTCAAAGTACATTCATTACCCTCCGGTCAACTCTAGCAAATTTATCTCAAGGAAATAACTTAACAGAAAACAAAAGCTCCAAGATGTTAACTGCAGTGAAAACTCAGAAATGACTTAAAAGTGTACCAGGTACAGGAAGCAACAAAAATTATGGCCATGTAGAAAGTAAGACTAGAGTGTATATTATTGGTTCGTCGGAAAAGCCATGACGCATTTGTGTGCAAAATGCGTCATGGCTTTTCCGACCACCCAATACTTTAAAAGTGTAAGTTGAATGGCCCTTAAAACTGCAACCATGTAACAATACATTATTACATGGGAAAGAGAAGAAAGAAAGAAAAGAATCATGAAAAAAATGCAGGCTACAGAGTATAATATATATTAGGATTAGCCCACCGAATACTCGAACTGCAGCAGTCCAAACTGAGTGATGCTATAAATAAAAAATATGTCCCACATTTTGGAGACTTGGTAGGAAAAATAACGTGAAATATCTCATTAATAATGTCTACATTAATTACATGATGAAATTCATAAAGATTTGGGGTACACTGACTCAAACAGAATATATTATGAAAGTGAATTCTACTTTTTCTGCTTTTTGTAATGTACCTAGTAGAATACTTAGAATTACCTGAGGCTTACATTGTGTTTTTATTACACAACACTGCTATTACAAAGGTGGGATTATACCTATTTCTCTTTTTCCTAATTTTATTATATTTTTGGAAGTGTTTTGCATTAAAATAAGCACATACGGAGTTGATTACTGAAAATGAATGCTTTGAAATAAAACCATTTTATTCTTTTAAATAATCGTGAGATCTTGGGTAAGTCCAAGACACTACTAATCTCAACTTTTGTTTTTATTAGGTTACTCAGAAAATAATCACCTATTTTTCTGGTTTTCTATGCAAAAATGCATCGTGACTTTCCTAATGACCCAATGAAAGGGTAAGAGGGAAGAAAACATGCCATCTAGAAAGGTCCTTCCAGTTAGGAACACTATGTAAATTTGAAGCTACCCCCTTCTAAGTGACTTCTAATCACTGGCAGAAATACGCCAGTCCACTGCATAAAGAGTAGCTGCTCAGAAAACGTGACAGCACGATCAAGTGACATTTTCACACTGGGTTTTCCCAGTCCACCGTCTCACAGACTTCTCCTCTATTAAAGCAAAGTGACAATGGACAGTAACACATTAAATTCTAGATTTGCAGCATCTTCTTCTACTTCTTCTTTTCTTTTCTTTTTTTTTTTTTTAAGGTCGTTATAAGGCGTTTACACTTGCTGGAGAAACAGAGAGTAACAGAGAGGGAGAGAGAGTGAGAAATTACCCCCTGGGGGGATGGCCATGCCACAATCCCTTCCCTTCCATTCACCTTTTGGGATCTCGGGCACACACATGCACTCTTGTTACTTTCAAGCTGCCAGGTCTGAGACTTAACTGCTGTCTGCCACGTGGGAGTCCAGCACCTTAACCACACCATCTACTTTTTTTGTTTTTAAGAGTCCTAGAATCCACAATAGGGAGCTAAACAAGAACACTGAACTTGTCGGAGGCAGAAGAAATAGCTTGTTCTTGCTGCAACATCAGCACCCACATTCAAAGACCATAATTTAGAATACTGCCAAAGTTCGTAACTAAAAGCAAGTAAAAATATGTCTAATACTAAGCAAGTAGCATCAGAAAAGCGAACCAAGATTAGCAAGTGTTGACTAAATGCCAAGATTTTCTAATGCTTATTAAACAATTGCAACAATTCTAAGAAATCGTTCTACCCGAAATGTCGTTGTGACTTCAACTTATTCTAAAAGGTCAGACTCAAATATAATAGATTTTAAAAATAATTTGATAGTGCTAATAGTGGTCACAGTATTCCAAACTGAGCCAAAGGATATCAATAAAAGCTTCATAGATGAACCTTGGCAGAGAGCCACGAGCCCCATCTGCAAGTCACACATTACATATTGTTTGCACGTGATTGGGTTTTCTTTAACCCTTGGAGGTACACATGGGATTCCCCAAAGAGTTCCCAACACTGAAGGCTTATCTACCAGCACCAGTGGATTAATTGAGAATGGCATGAAAGGCTCTTGGGAAAAAAAATGGTTCAGAACAAAACTGCCTGGGGCAATTTAATTTCTCTTTTCCAAAAGGCTCATTTTCAAGTTAGACAGAGGCTCAAATACACATGCAGTCTAAACTAGCCTCTCATCTGAAATTAAGGATTATAGAAAGCCAATTAATATGGGATTGTGTTCTGTAAGGTGAGCCAAAAATCCATACATGAGCTGTTCTTTTTATTACATTATGTGATATGAAAACTGAAACTTGTTTCTCTGGGCCATTGGTTTGAAAGAACAAGACTCCGGTCAATGGCGGGCTTCATTTAGCACGATCTCATCCATCACAGGTCTACACGAAAGCCATCCCAATGTCTTTGCATTATGCAAATCGCCGTGGTTATTTGTTTAGCAAAGAATTCTTTAAAAAGGCATGAAATTGCCAATGTGGAGTCTAGGGCATGAGGTGGAGGAGGAGGAGGAGGAAATAAAGTATTTCTCTTTTCCAATTAACGCAGACATGTGTGATGAAGAAAAACCATTATGATAGCTAATTCACTAGATGACCAAGATCACTCAAAAATTATTGAAAATTCAGTCAACGGAATTTTAGAGCAAAATGTTAGGGACACTAGGACAGCTCAAAGTTGATACTAATATGAGTATGCAGAGAGAAAAAAAATTCAAATCTAAATGACTAAAATCTATTTAAAGATATATCTAACACAGTATATGACATACAGTAGGTATTCAATATGCATTTGTTAAATGAATGAGATCCTGAACAGTCCAACTGTTTCAGATTAAAGACAGCCACTTTATTAATAGCATCTGAAAACAAACAGAAAGCCATGAGCAACTTAACCTCAGGTAACCAGCCTCAAGGGAAGAAATCATCCATACAAAAAGAAACCCTTCCTTCAAAAGGACAGGCCATTTTGTGGGAGAGGAAGAATTTTCTGATAACATCTGAGACCATCTATTCTTTTTAAACACAAAAGGAAAAGAAAGATGGCAATCTTTTCAATAGTATTTAAGTCATCTGGCCTAAACAGTATCAATAATAACTTTAAATCGAGGTATTAAGGTCCTTAACCATAATTTCTTTCTAAATTTTTCTACTTAAGTCATTTGAGGAAACAGCAAGATAAAATCTATCTCTTCAACTTTCTCAAAATAAATGTACAAAACGGCAGTTATTTCCAGCTGATAATAAAAGTACATAACTACATAGGGAGGGGTGAATGGGAAACATATTTACCTTGACACACTCCCAGGATCCCACCTCTGACAGACCTACCAACTGAGTCATCCCGGACAGATTCCTTTCAAGAGAAACCTTGAAATCTCCCACACAGGGGGCTGACACAGAGCATGGTGTTTAAGGGCACTGGACTCCCACAAACCCACTGTGGCTGGAGTCCCAGATCTGGGGAACTGCCTTCTTACTTTCCCTCTCTGTCTCTCTCTGGTCAAATTAAAATACTAATAATAATAATTAATAAAATTAAGGACAAATAATTCTTTAAAAAAATCTCCCACGCAGCAAGAACAACATACAGGTTACGTGTCCCTCATCCAAACTGCTAGCATTATATCACATTTTCAAACTTTTCCAAATTTTAAAATACCTGCATATATATAATGAGGTATTTCAGGGATAACATCCGACTCTGAATACCAAATTCATGTAGGTTTCATTTACACCTTATGCACACAGCCTGAATGTACAATATTGTATACAATATTTTTGTTTTGACTGCCATCTGGCACGTAAGTTCAGAGGTGAAATTCTCCACTTAGGGCACCATGTTGGTGCTCAAGAACTTTTGAATTTGGGAGCATCAGGATTTCAGGTTTTTGGTTTAGGGATGCTCAACCTGTATTGAGAAGAATGAATGAAAGAATTCACTCACCTGAGTGTTTTCTCTGATCCACATTGAGCCTACGGAGCTAGTCACATCTTTTATTGTACACGTCACGGTAAACTCTTCCCCTTCCCTAAGAAGATAGCTTGCTTTGGACACAGACACAACTGGTATAGCTTTGATGGCTAGAAGAAAAAGAAACGTGGCCCTTCAATAATTCATTCTATTATAGCAGAAAATTTTAGCTTACCATTTTCCCTCAAATGTGGAGTGGTTAGGTTATCATCTTTTAAATAAAATACAAAGTATGGGACTAACCTATCTGGATTATTTGCATATCTGAAGACATTAGTAATTGAAATGTGTACCTTCAAGTAAATTAACTAATGTTGAGTCAAAAAGACAGGAATGTCTACTGTGAGATGATAACACTCTCAGAAAATGCTTTTTTTTTTTTTCAAAACAGGTAGACAGCCTGTAGACAGCCTACTGTGTTAAAGTAGCTTTAGTTTTCATCTCAGACAACCTTGGTACTTTCGTAAGGACACAACCTACAGCGAATTATATTCTCACAACCAAACAGGAGCCACTCCCATATATTATAAAAAGAATACTCTTTGCTTTTGAAAAATCATAGGTTTTTAAATAATTGGATTTTCCTTAACTTCAGTGAGTATACTTTTTAAAAAGCCTTAATATGAACTGTACTCGAGATGAATGCCAATTAGATTATCTTCCAGCCACTGAAATAGTCTACCTACTACCACAATAACGAGGTCCAGAGTCTGTCGTACTTTCCTTCTCAGATCTAGAAGTTTGTGAATGCATTAAAATTAATCAGCTGGAAGTCAATTCATGTGTCAATAGTAAATCAGACAAGGAATAAGCTATATGCTAATGTTTTCAAACAGGACAATTAGAGCTTCCCAATGCTTTTCTCTGGAAGGAACACTTGATACGATTATGGAACCCTGGGACGACCTAGGTCAGTAGGTTTAAGAACACCTCCAGTACGTCCACATGCCGATCTATGGCAGATACACCACTTCAGAGAGAACCTGCCATGGACTGGCCACTTGCGGTTAGGACTGTGAAATAAAGAACTCATGGCAGCTGACATAATTTTGAAGCTAGGGAACTAATAAACCAGCTCCTCAACTGACCATAGCAAGGTGGACCCCCAAGAAGAAGGAAGTCTTCTTTAGGTGAATGGATTCCCCAATTCCCAGAAACAAGGAAGGACGGAGTCGTACCTGCCCTCACTTTCAGGATGAACTTCTCCGACAACACCGACTGGCCTCCTCGGTCAGCAGAGCAGCGCACACAGAGCCAATGGTAGGAGCGTTTCACACTTTTGATTGTGATGCCAGCTTTGGGGTCTGGGACAAATGTCAAGTCCTTGGGAAGAGGTTTCCCATCACACCCCTTGAGGGAATAATTGGTCACCTCTGGGTCCGTCAGAGGACAGCGGACCACCGTATCATTGTCTTCTTTCCCATATAAGAGAAGGTCAACAAGGAAAAGCTTTGCAGGATCTGTAAGCATATCAGGAACGAGGAGTTTGAATGCTCATTACAGACACCAAAAACTTTTTTTTTTTTGGAGAGGTTTTTGCTATAGGGCGCGTGCACTTGCCAGACAGACAGAGAGACAGAAAGTGAGAAATCACCCCCCAGGGGGGATGGCCACACCACATTCCCCTCTCTTCCATTCTCCTCTCGGGATCCTGGGCACGCAAGCACATGCGCCTGGCTTGAGTTTAAGCCACCAGGTCCGGGACGTGAACTGCGGTCAACTACGTGTGAGTCCAGCGACATAGCCATTACGCTAACTGCTGGTCCCTACCAAAAACATTTCTTAAAGATCTAAAATGTTGCCTTTCATGACAGCAATTGCTAGTGCCCCAAATGGTTGCTGACTTTTTCCTGTGTAAGCAAGAGTAAAATTTATCCAAAGAGTCCTAACAAGTAAGAGTTAACATTCTAAAAACACATTACATGGGTCAAGCACAAATTTGACCATTACACACTTCATCTCATTTAATCTTCAAAGTGCCCTTATGTGACTGATACTGTCATGACCACCATTTTACAGACGAAGAAAGTGAGGTCTCAAAAGAGCAATTTTACAGGCTAGAAATTGTCATACAGAACTCCAACCCAGGTCAGACTGATACCAAAATTTGAGCTCTTAAAACTCTGAGAACAATCTATTACAACAGTTATTCTTTTCCTACAATAACTAGTAAATAATCCACGGAGCATCAGCTGAAAATAAGTGAGTTTATGGCACGGTAGTTAAGGGCACTGGACTCCTACATGGCTGACTGTGGTTCGAGTCCCCGACCTCGCAGCTTGTTTTCACACTTTTCCTCTCTCTTTTTCTCTACCCCTCTCTGGTCAAATTAAAATAAATAAATAAAATAAAATAATTCTAAAAAATAAAGAAGAAGAAGAAGAAGAAGCGAGTCTAATGAAGTCTATCAGGGACAGGAAAAGGTTTCCTTTCCTCTAAGCCTCTACACGAGACGTTTTCCAGAGTTTTCAGGCTCTAGAACCTTTCACCTTCTGAAGAAAATCCAGAAAACTCCCAGCACCAATAACATGTGAGCCTTGGCCATTCCCGTTCATGTTCTGTGAAAGAAATCTGTAAGTCTAACTTCTAGAAATCAAACAATGTGAGGGAGCTTAAGAGTTCCTGGAAAGACTTTACTGCCCACTGTGGGACACTTGTGAGTGAGAGACGCTATTAATCATTACGCTGGGACTCCAGGCACAGATGGAATGGCGCGGGCAGACTGGAACCTCACATAGGCCAAGACAAACCTGATTCTGTATTTCCAATACATGGCCACCCTCCTCTGTGCAGTAATAACACAGATGGGGGACTGGGTCGACAGAGTACACTTAAAATCTGTTTTTAAATGGTCCTTTCCATCTGGAAATCAAGTGTCCTACCAAAAAAAATGAATTTTACATACTGAAGTATATTCCTTGTTTCGTCATTTAACTTTAACCCTTTTTTTTTTTTGAGAGAGAGAGAGATTTTTACAATAGGGAGTGTATGCTCACAGGAGAGACAGAAAGTGAGAAATCATCCCCAAGGGGAATGACCACACTGAAATGCCTTCCCCTCCATTCTCCTCTCAGGATCTTGGGCATGCACACACATGCACCCGGCATGAGTTTCAAAACTCTGGGTCCAGGAGTCGAACTGTGGTCAACTACATGGAAGTACAGCGATGTAACTATTACACCATCTGCTGGTCCCATTTTGACCTATTTTTGAAAAAAAAAACAAATCAGAATGAATTACGTACCCCCTGACCTTACTCATTTACTCTGTGCACAAATTACCTCATGACTATCCAACTATGGTCCAAAGCCATAGCTGTTCATGGTGCTGTCTACAGTTTTCAATCATTTGAGTCTAGCTCCTATAATGTCCCACTTTCATTTATCACTCTAACATAGATTAGTTAAATACCCAAGCAGCTTAAACCAGTAATAATTAAGGACAGTTCTGAGTTATGAAGAACGCCTTTTCCAATGAAGATGACCATGAGCTCTCTGAGGGCTTTGGCTATTCAGCAGTTTCCTTATTTATTCCGTTGTCTGCCCATCCTATTAACAAACAGAATGAAACTTCATTACCACTTGGAAATTATGGAATACCCTCCAAAATGTCACAGAACAGCGCATGGGTTGGCTCAACAATGACCATACCCTGAAGCTAAATTGTGACTTAATCTGTGCATACCTCCTTTCAGCTACCCAGTTAGGCAGGGACAACTGAGAAAATAAGTGGAGGCAGAGTCAATTTCACGGCCACCTTCTTCACGCGAACATGTGCGTCAGCCTTATTAACCCAGTAGAGCGTGTAGAACGTGTACCGTTCTGTCTCCCTGATGACAGACCAGTAAAAACGATGGAGTATTTGGACAGGCTCAAATCCAAATACTGTACTGAGGAAACGGAGACTTGTTAGGGAGCTCGGATCTCCAAACGAGGCTAAAGGTCTCCATTACTAGTTCATAATGCTATGGAGAAGGCCTCCTCCCTCAGAAATGGTGCAATGACAGCCCCAGCCCAGGTGGCCTCAGGTGGAGACCTAGGACTCTGCTTCTCCTTCTGTAACTTGGTTATGTCTCTTAAGCGTCAGTAATCCAGTTTTTATATCAACCAAAAGAGATACCCAATGCAGCAGCCCCACCTTCGGCAAGGATATGAAAAACATGAACAGGGGCCAGCAGATGGCGTAGCAGTTACATTGCTGGACTCCCACATGGCCGACTGTGCTTTGAGTCCCAGACCCAGTGGCTTGAAAATCATGCCAGGCATGTGTGTGTGCATGCCCAAGATCCCGGGAGGAGAATGGAGACGAAAGAATTGCGGCATGGCCATCCCCAGGGGAGTGATTTCTCACTTTCACTCTCACTGTCTCTGTCTCTCTTTCTCTCTCCCCAGAGAGCACACATGCCCTAAGGCAAAAACCTCTTATTAAACACACACACACACACACACACACACACACACACACACACACACACACCACAGGAGAACCACTGAATCTGTCACAGAAGATGAGGTCTAGAAACACAACTATCAAATTTTTTTTCTTTTCTTTCTAAGAGGTCACATTTTTTGAAAATCGATCAACGCTACACAGAATCTATAGCAGACATGGGAGGCTTAGCTGACTGAGTTCTTTTTCTGAAGTTTACTTGCTGAGAATGGGCCAAAGCATTTGAAGTGCTGGTCTGTTCAGGCCTTGAGAGGCCTTCCGTTCCCTGAAGTGTTTTACTAAGTGGGAATATCTAGTATCTCAAGGCATTAAAACACAGCTTTCCCAAAGGGCCTCATTTATTCTCAGGGTTTGCTCAGAGCAGCCGGACAAATGGGCTACACATACTGTAATCTCATTAGGAAGAGCATCACAGCCTTACACGCTTCCAGTTGGGGTCATGCCCAAAGCCACGACACATCAGGAGATTGGGGGGGGGGGGCCAGCAAGAACACGTATTTCTAGACACAGCCAGTAATGTCTCATCCGTGGCTCGGTCACCCACACGTCATCCAAAACGAAGAGCAGGACATTAAGTTCTCGGAGCATAGCGTCACAGAAAGCCGTATTTACCTCTCACGAACACATAAACGGAGGTGCTGAGGCCAGCTTTGTTGATGCACGTGTATCTGCCTGTATTGGTGGCCTCTGCTTTTTCCGTGATCCACTCATCGTGGTAATTCTCACTGATTTGATCCAAGTTTTCAAAAGTCCATTTGACAAAGCCCGGATCAGTGCACAGCAGCCTAAGCGGGTCGCCGGCGCTGACTATTAACTCTGATTTTGCTGGGTGGATGGCTGGTGGAGACAGTTCCCCTGGACTCACAGATGGTTGAGAAGAGCCTGCCAAGAAAAAGGAGAATGGTGTTGAGTAAAGATCTTCTTCTCTGGCGACATAAAACATTCCTTCCAATACTGAGTTCCATCTTCTGTGTACTCTACAACAAAAATAGGACAAAGCTGCCCTGCTATTTATGGCTGGAAAGAGAGTACTGTTGAAAGTTTCTTAAGTTCATCTAGAAAATTTAAGTATTTTCCACAACCCTCAATTAAGCCTACGCACCACATGGGCAGGCCCTGCCAGGATTTTCTGGATGCCGTGGCCTGCTCTGGGCTAAACAGTCAACTGGGTCAAGTTTCCATTCTGAACTGGGCCATTGTCATGGTACTGACATGCTGACATCATGCTTAAAATAGCCAAAACGGGTAACAGCAAATGGCGTCATGGTTACGTCGCTGGACTCCCACGTAGTCGACCACAGTTCAAACTCCAGATCCAGCAACTTAAAACTCACACTGAGCGTGTGTGTGCCCAAGATCCCGAGAGGAGAATAGAGGAGAAGGGACTGCGGCATGGCCAGCCCCCCCTGGGGGGTGATTTCTCACTTTCTATCTCTCTGTCTCTCTGCTGAGCACACGTGCCCTATAGCAACAATCTCTCTAACCAAAAAAGAACAAAATCAAAGCCTCACATTATGGGGGGAAAGAACGATCAGCCTTTCACTCTTTTGGCAAAATATACATGACCATAATATAGTTCGGCTTCGGCTTAAAATTTGTGAATTCAGTTATTTCTATATGACTGTTCTTTCACGGCAATGTTTATCAAAAGAACTATTCCCCAATCTCCAGATGAAATGGCAGAAATGACAATGCCAAATTTAAAGATCAGACCACAAACATTTTATGGTATGCACTGGGCTTCAACCTATCAACCTCATCCCCAGGGAGGAGTTCTAGATAGGAACTTCTATCTATTTTATTAAGATGCAAACTTTAGACTCGGAGTATGAAACTTGAACCTAACCGATTTAAAACAGGGGGGCTGGATAGTGTCGCAGCAGAAAGACATGGGTCTCTGCAAGGCTGACCACATGGAAAGGTTCCAGGCTCCCATCCAGAGACCTCCCTGAATCTACATGTGCCCATGACCCGAGGCTGGCTGAAGTAAGGGGCAGATCGCGGCATCAAGACCCATTAGGTCTCCCTCCAGCCCTCCCGCACTCTCTTTCTCACTCACAAAGAAATCAACCAACTTTTTAAAAACAGATAAAAATAAAATTTACAACAGCTAACTCATTGATTCACGAACGTATCTGAGTACTCGCATATCTGTTCATTAATTCTGATCCACCAAAGCAGCGTCCTAGGTGCTGGGAAAAGCGCTTGACGTGTAAGCTTGACACTTCAAAGCTCAACGAACAAACTGTGACTACCGAGATGTAAGATGCAGGCTACAGGGTTTAGTGTTAAGCTGAAGAGGAAGAGGCGCGCTAGATAGGGACCATGTCGGAAGAAGGAAGGACAAGGAAGCCATGGTGGTGGGCTGAGCTGGCGCCGGGGTTGGCACGTGAGGCCTTCAGTAAAGAAGCCAGCCTGCCTGGAGAACGGGTTTCCTGGGCCGGGCCTGAGAGGGAAGGCTGAGTAGGACTGACACAGACCATCATGAAGCCTGAGCCTCTGGTGTAGATCCACCTGCCATGTACCATGGGGACCATGTCAACACGCTGTCAAATGACGCACACAGTAAAATACCAGAGAATACACAAGATTCAAGAAAACGAGTGATCCACCCGCAGAAAAGATGAAAACCTCCAGTAAAGAATTGAAAGTCAGGAGGAAGCGATACAATATATTGTCAGAGGAAGCACATGCATAGTTATGGATACGGTGGAATGAAAAGAAAAAGCAAACTTTTTTTTAAAGCTAAAGGTCGACTCTTGGACAACCTGAGTGAGCAAAGCAGGAGAGAAGGTCCCTGGGTGGGTGTAGCGGGTTAGAGCAAAACAGAAACAGAATTCCCTGGGGGTGACCTAAGGACATTCTTCTCCTTGCCATGTCTGTCTCTCTGCGTGTGCCTCTGGGACACACCCACACCAGTCCACCTCCTCCTCATGAGGAAGGCCAGCAAAGACTGGCCTCAGCATGCAGAGTGGGGGGAGGGGAACCTGTACATCAGATCTGTCCCCTCCCATGCATACATTCGAGGTTGGAGACAGGGACTGACTTAGAGAGGAGTAAAAGGCACAGCTGGGGGACAGCAGGGAAAGCCACACGTAGGAAATTCACCTATTCAGGATGGGTGACCAGAAAGGGACTGGGAGGGACAGGGACAGACCTCACTGCCATCTGCTCAGCACATGACAATGGCTTAGGACCTGAGATTCAGATGGCCGTGGGACACTGATAGCTTAGGAAGTTAAACCCAGGCTCGGGTGACCGAAGAAAAGGGTTTGTGAAAAAAGGGAGGAAGAAACCAAGCTCCAGTCTTAAAGGACTCTTCCAGACAAGGGGGAGGAGGAAAGCCATGAGAGTTTTGTTTTTCAAGGGGGGATGGGGAGGAGAAGCCACAGAGACATGGCAAGGAAGGCATCGCACTGGAAAGCACTGAAGGAGGTCGGTACCGGGGCAGGTCAGAGCCAAGGGCACAGGGAAGGAGCCACAGTGCCCTGATTCGGTCATGAGAGACCAATGGAAACCCGAGAGTTGAATTTCAGTTGAGTGAGAATTTGTTTGTTCCAAGATGTAAGGTGACAAGGACAGTCCTCTCCTCGGATAGCTATGGCCTATCTAGGGTCCAAATGAGCTAAAAGGCAAAGAAAATAGGAGGCCTCTTCACATGTGGAGAGAGAGAGAAGAGTTTGTGGATAGGGACAGACCAAAGGCACTCTACCGGAGGGGCTCACGTTGTTCCCTCTGACAAATACTCCACCTGGTGACATCACCCACAGCCCCATTATGTCAAACACAGTTCAGCCAGGACGAGAGTCGCAGCCTTGCGTTACAGAAGGTAACAATAAGGTCAACAACCATCGCTGACTGTGACTAAGCACCAACAGGGAGAGAAGTGTTAAGGCGGTGGGGGAATGAGACCAGTGTCCACTGGGCCCAGCATCGCTTCCGCAGCCGGGATATGGACGCCGAGTGGTTAGGATTATTTGGAGAGTCTTACAAGGTGTTAAATAATGAAAACAAAGGCAGCAGCACATGGAGATGCTATCATTTCAATTATTTATCCCTTTAAAAATGGAGGAGTCCCAAGAGAATATGAGTGAGCTAGAGGGCAAATTTCATCCAAAAATTCTTAAAGAATTTATGTTGCAGAATATGTCAATCAATTTGACTTTCTCATGAGTGGATCTGAAGGACATATGTGAGGGGTCTTCAAAAAGTTCCAGGGAAAAAGTGTTCTATGAAAAAACTATGCACGGATTTCAGTATTTGGGGCACCCAAATTAACTTGTACTTTAATTCCATTTTTCTCACACTTTCTGAATTCTTCTTGTGTAAGTGTTACAATCCAGTCAAATAAATATTGCTGACTCCCCAAAACCTACTAGGCCAATGCCAGCAAGCCCTGGCTGTGTGCCAAGAAAGAGCACTCAAACCCTCTGTGTCCAAGTTTCCACACCCAGGAAATGAGGGTAAAAAAATAGACCTCATCTCAGAGTTCTTATGACAGTCAAAGGAGGTAGTACATGCAAGGAGCTTAAAAGACGACTGGGTAGTTGGGGTCACAAGTGGTGTGGTGGTTAAGGCGCTAGCTATTCCCACATGGCCAATCATGGTTCAAGTACTGAACTCGGTGGCTTGAAACTCACATTGGGTGTGTGTGCGTGCATGCCCAATATCCCAGGAGGAGAACGGAGAAGGGACTATGGCATGGTCATCCCCACTGGGAGTGATTTCTCACTTTCTCTGTCTCTCTCTCTCTCTCTCTGGTGAATACATGTCCTATGGAAAAAAAAACAACAAAAGAGAGGAATCTTAGTACACGCAGCAGAGTTTGGCTGTCGGTAAGACCATCTAGCTCTGCATCCTAGCACTGCCCCGTCCTGAGCTGTAACCCTGGGTAAGGAACCACTCCAGTCCGCTCACCTTCCTCCTCTGTAAAGTGGGGACCACAGCAGCACCTATTTCATAGGGCTGTTGTGCGGATGACTTAGAACTGTGCTTGGGCACGTGGGATACACCTAACGAATGGCAGATGCACTTATTGCAGACACAGAGCTTCTCGTCTGTCGCCGTTACCCAGTTCCCACGTATGTGAACAGCTCTACCATCTCCCAGATTCCTGCCTGATTCTCTCTAGCAGCAAACCCTACTGTCTTTCTTTCAGAGATCTGCCTCCCACATGTCCCTCCTTTCCACTCCTTTGTCCTCCCTAGACCAGCCTTTGTCGCCTCCCAAAAGATCTACTACTCATAACCCTAAGATCCATCAGCCTAAAACACCATCTTCCTACCAGCTCCATCCCTAGCCTCAAAACCCCAGGGAAGGAGGGCAGCAGGTGGCATAGTGGTTAAGGCCCTGGACTCCCATATGGCCAACTGTAGAATGAGTGCCAAACCCAGTGGCTTGAAACTCACACCGGGCGCGTGTGCATGCATGCTCAAGATCCCATGAGAAGAATGGAGGAGAAGGGATTGTGACATAGCCATCCTCCCTAGAGGGTGTTCTTTCACTTTCTCTGTCTCCCAGATGAGCACACATGACCTATAACAAAAACCTCTCCATAAAACCCAAAACTCTAAGAGTGGTGGTGGTAGCTAACAGTGGATGCATTAAAAGCACTTCCAAGAGAGTGATATCTAGGTGTCCTGAGACCCAACCTGCCTCTCCCTGGCTGACGGCTGAGGCTTCTGGGGTCATCCTTGTCATGGCCATCTCGCTGCCTGTGTCTCTGGGATGTACTGACTACACCAGTCCACTTCTCACCACATGGAAGGTCCAGGGAAGGCCAGCCTCTTCACAAAGGCTATTTATTGCTCACCATTCCTGGGCGCGATGACCTGTCCCCACTAAATCCCACTAGCACAGTCTGCCCATCACCTATAAGGCTT